TGTTCCGGGAAAGGCGCCCAGAGCCCCGATGCTGCTTCGCTCTCCCCGCCGGCACCCGCACTTAGCGGGGTCCCCCCTCCCCAAGGACCCCCTCCCTGCTCCCCCTGGCCCGAACCCTCCGGGGCAGAGGCAGGAGCTGTCCCGGGGCTCCTCCGCCTCCCCGGGGCCGCACACACAGACCCCGCTTTGTCTGACCGCTCACTCCCACTCGTCATCCCGTGTTTAGGTTGCAAATACTGCAGGGGAGATGTTTAACCCAAACAAGCTATCGTGTTCCTTGACTTTCAAACACGAGGACAACTCCTATAATTAATTACCAGTGTATTTATTAAAAACTTCAGCTCTCAGCCATTAACTCCTTGGCAGCAATCTCTTGAAAAATCTCTAATTTTCACCGGTGGCTTCCGTCCAAATCAGCACAGCTTAGAACAGCCTCTTTTCAAATCTGTTCTGAGTTTTCTTCCGAGATCCTCTCCCCAGAGTTTGCCGATTAATTTCCAGCCTGGCTTTCCAGATAGCCAAAACCGGAAGCCGAGACTGGGACGAAGGGAAGCTATTAACCTGGATGTCAAACAAATGCAACACTAATCTCTTCCAAATGGAGCCAAGCGGAGATAAAGAAGAAAGAACAACTCTACTGCCATGATCCTTCATTTTCAATGCAGGAAGGAGGATCCTTCCAAAGAACAGAAAACAATTGTTTGATATTCCAAGGAAAGTTTGGTAGGCTCTTTGTTTTTTTAAGAAGGCACAGCTTGAGTGGCAGTCCAGCCTTGCCACTACCCCTTGGTCAGGGCAGGATAAGCACAGTGTGATCCAAGAGGGAGCAGCATCCATACGCTCCAGTCTCACCATCAGAGCTACACCCTGCCCCGGGTCTATTCAGGCTGTGATTTCAGCCCACACTCCCCATACCCTGCGGAGGTGCTTTCTCAGAATAATTTTCTCATTATTTTAGTTCTTCGTGAAGCATTTCTGCCCTCCAACAGCACCCATGGGCAGGAATCACAAGGCTACTGAAAGCAGTGGAGTCGTGCCAGGGATAATTTTGGTTGACTCGGTACCAGCCTGCCGTTTGAGGTCAGGTCTGTAGGTAGACGACAACAGAGGAGTTTATTATATGTGCATAATTAAAGCTGCCAGCTACAGCCTAACTTTTCTACTGTGTAATAAAAAGCGTTCTTGGCCCCTGGACACTTGGGAACAATCCCTGCAGCTGCAAAGCCAGCTTCTGCGTGGGAGGTGTTGAAGCAAGTATGCTTCTTGCCTACCTCTGCAACAACTGAAACAGCTGATGGCAGAGGTATTTCTGAGAGCAGAAAAAATTAAACCAATCAAAACCTGTACAGCGAGGCTCAGGAAGAGCATGAATCCAGCGCACGTTGGTGAGCTGTGAGCTCCAAATTGCTCAATTGTCCTGCAACAGGACGGGGTATGTGGAGAGGACCCAGACGCTGCTTCCAGGGTGGAGCTAAAGCTAAAAGGGAGCTTGAATAAATTAGAGAGGTTGGGTTTTGTGTTAGAGCTGGTGCTCCTCTCTCCTGCCTCTTGGCACTGCTGGGAATGACAGCCAGGGAATGACAGACAGCCGGGGAATGACAGCCAGCCAGGGAATGCCAGCCTTCCAGGGAATGACTGCCAGCCAGAGGACAGCCAGGCAGGGCAGAGAGTGACACTACCCTCTGCTGGGGACCGAGCGTGGAGCTGCTTCTCTCGGCTAACAGACTTCACTTCATGAGCTTTTATTTTAGTTTATTGCATGAGAGAAACCCAAGAGGTGACTGGATGCACTGGAAAGATCTTGCCAGAAGGAACATTGTGCTTTTTCATCCCCAAATGTCTCAGTACACAGAGACAAGGAGCCTGGCAGGCAGCCCCTGCAGCCTGGGTCCCGATGCAGAGTGGGTGTGAGGGGGTAAATGGCTGGTGAAGTGATGGCAGTTTGGGAATGCAATAGAGCTGCTTGGGAACATCCCAGTCCAGCATGGAAGAGGCAAAACTAGTGAGGAAAGGAAAGGAAGGGAGAGAAGGGAAGGAAGGAAGGAAGGAAGTTAGTTTAAATGCACTAACGTACAAGGAGATCATACCTTACAAATCAACCCAAACATACCTGGGACATGGCCCCGTTTCCCAGTAATGTGCATTTTCATAATGTTTGGTGTTACTCCTGGGAAAAGAGCTGACTCCCTGGGGGGTCAGCGCATGCAGAGAAGCAGCTGCTGCACTGCCCCTTTGGAGCAGCCCTCTGTAAGGATCTCTAAAACACCAGGGCCATACCGCCAGGAGATCCCCATTTCCCAGCCAGCCAGTGTCTGTGGATTGCCATTGCCACCTTCTGGATTAGTCCAAGCGTGCATCAAGCCTATCCCAAAGCCCTGCTGGCTTCCAGCAGCCTGGACAAGGTGTCTCCAGCTGGAGCCAGAGTTCCCAGAGCAGGAGCCGTCCCGGCTGCTGGCACAGCAGCTGTCACATGTCCCCTGCAGCCTACGTGCCATTTACATCCTGCCCTTAGATTTTGTGATCTCCTTTCACCAACTATTTTAGGAAACCTGTGCAAGCCACAACCAGGCAAACCCGCTGCTCAGCAGCAGCTCTGGCTGGGTGATCAGTGAGGGGGGAATCACACGGTTACCAAAGTGCTGCCGTGTCAAACGACTGAGTGCAGACAATAATGCTCTGTCTGGCTCATCTGCTGCTGTAAACACCTGATCTACCTGCCCAGACAAGGTGCACACTGGAATAGTCACTGCAATTATCCTCCTGCTAACGGCCCTGCACGGCTGCCAGCAGAACTCATCTCTCCCCTCCCCGCAGGCACCCACCTCCCAGAGCCAGCAACAGGGGGGACTGCCTGCTACTGTGGAAAGGAGCAGGAAAATTAACCTGGCACAGCTCAGTGAAGACAGAAGGGATGAACTGGATTCTCTTCTTGTACTGGTGCAGCAGGAGCACTCAGCCACAGGTACTCTTTGTTTAGCCTGGATAAAGGTAATGCCTGAGAGTGCAACTCCACTGGAAAAGGGCTCTGACCCCAGGCACCAAGCAGGTGGAGCTGGCACTTCCCTGGGCATTTCTCGGTGGAAATAGTCTTATTTCTGGGGCTTGGGATGCCCCAGCTGTGCTGAATACCAGTAACAACCAGTTAACCAGTTCCTGACACCAACATCACGCTGACTGGACATCCTCACTAACCGTCCCCCTTCACCCCAGCAGCCTCCCCATCCAAATCAAACAGACCTGGAGTGTATCCCAGTCCCAGGGAGCTGGGCAAGGGCAAAACAGCCTGGCACAGCCCTGCACTGCAGCCATGGCACAGCAGAGGTACGGCCTGAGGCAGCTCGGGGAAAGCAAAGCAGATACAGGGATTCCTTGGAGGAAGGAGAGCAACGATCTGATCCACTGGCCAGGCAGCACCTGGGTTTCACCTCATCCATTCCACTGCTGCTGCTTCCAAGGTTCGTTTGGGAAGGCTCCTGTTGGCAGATGACCCTGGGGCTCACGGCAAAGGGTGGATGGTCAGAACAGTTTGGAGCTGCTGGAGCTCGGTAGTTTCCAATCCTTCTTCTTGCCTCATCTCATACACAATCCACTTACCAGCTTCTCCTGTTTGCCCAGAGTTTGGTGACAACAGAACTGGTAAGTTTTCAGAGAAGACCAAGACACCTCAAAAACCCTTAATCTTGTTCCACTCAAGGATTTTGCACTTTGTTCTGCGGCTTCCACGAGGCGGGTCAGGGCCGGCTTCTCTGCACTAGCAGGAGGCGGATTAAGCAGCAGAGTCAGGCTATTCCTGATAATAAACGTTTTAATAGTGTGGTCATTTCTCTTTTTGTTTTGTTTTCTTCCCTCTTCTTTGTGTTTGGTCTGAATTCTGCTGGGAATGGGGAGTTGCAGCATGCCTTCTCTCTGACGAAGTAAACCACAGCCTCCTGTTTGTGTCTGTGAAGGCCAAGAGGAACGGGAGCAGCGCCGGGAGCAGCTCTGCATGGGTAAGTGTATTGGGTCCTTCGCAGGAGATTAGATGGCGCTGCGTTCACAGGAGATAAGAAGATTGTGAGCTTAAATTTAGCATCATCAGGAAAAAAATAAGCCCCACAGCTCTCTTCAAAACATATTTTGTACTGCGCTTGCCAGGGGACGGACGGGATAAGGAAATGCAGAGCAGACAAGCGATGACGAGAGGAGGTCAAGGAGGTGCTGCTCCGCCACGCTCCTTTTCCACGCAGTTCGCAGTGAGGGTGGCATGAGGCTGCCAGCACACAGGGGTGTCCCCTGCTGCCTTCACCCCGTGGACAGGCGGGCACTGCGGTGCCTGAGGCAGGTGAAAGGCTACAAAGGGTACCCACACCCTCCCAGCACAAGCAGCTGCTCCACCAGTTGCCCCCCCGAAAGGAGACTTGGCTGAAAATCCCCGGGCTGGGACCCCCCGGCACCTCCGGCAGGCGGGAGAGCCCCTCTCCCAAGGGCAGCGCCGGACGGCAACAGCGGGCTCGTCCAGCTGCTCCCAGCACGGGCTCAGCACACGCTGGGCTGGGTGTCCCTTTAAAACGCACCGGGCACCCGGTGCTGGCTGGCACCCCCCGCGAGGACCCCCATCGTCAGCCCCAGACCCGCGCACGCCCACTCAGGGTGCCCCACTGCCGCACCCGAGACCCCACCGCGGACTCCCCACCGCAGCGCCCACCGTCCTGCCGCCCCCCCGCGCCCCCGCCCTCGCCCGCCCGTCCCGGCTCTGGCTCCTCCCGAGCGCATCACTGCGGGGGGAGCCTCGGCGGCTGCTCGCCGAGCCCAGCGGCGCCCGGGCCGAGCGGGCCGGGCCGGACAGCGCAGCCACGGTGGGGCCGGGGGGGCGCGGGCGGGGGCGCGGGGCCCCGCGGGGGATGCGCAGGGGGGTGTGCGGGGGAGCCCCCGGGCGGGGCGCGCAGGGACGGGGCGTGCGGGACACCGCGGGGGCCGTGGGCGGTGCGCGGAGCCGGTGGAAGGGGTCGCGGGGGCGGGCGGGAGCGGGGGGGGGGGGCAGGAAAGGCACCTTCGCAGGGCAGGGACCCTCTGCTGGCAGCCCTTGGGTGACCCCTCGCTGTGTCCCGCAGGTGCCGTCGGGAGGTGACGGCCCTCCGGCTCGGGTACCATAACCAGGGCCGAGGCAGCATCTTCTCCTGCATCCCTGAGCACGTGACTTGCCAAGCGCCCGTCCATCACTCCTGTCACCGGTGGGGAGGCCACGCACGGGCCTGGGTACTGGTGACCTCGTCGGTCTGACCTCCTAGGTCTGCCCTATGGCTTCGGGACCCATTCTTCAGGGAAGCAGAGCTCCTCCAGAACCACTCATCCCGTCCTGCCTGGCTGCAGACCGAGCCCAGGACCACAGAGCCACCACTCACACCTACTGAGATACTCCACGGACCGTCAACAAGCAGCTCACGTGCATGTGGTCCCTTCACAGCATGAAACACTCAGCAGCATCACCCCCGGATGAGCTTTCAGAAGTTCTGGTTCGTTTATTAAGCAAGGCCAGGCTGCCCGTTGCGATTTCGGGGCGTGTGTATCCCTTCTCCCTCTCCTGAGTGTCGTGGATCCCCAGAGCCGTCCCCTGGGATGTTCTCCCTCGGGCTCAAAGCAGCAGCAGCAGCAGCAATCGACCCGGACTGACCCAGTGGGTTGTATTTTGGAGCTGTTGGGAAGGAGCTCCCGTGGCTGGGGCTCTCCTGGAGCAGATGAGTGACACACTAATGAACGGGAGGGTGCCCCTGCCCGAGAAGGCCTTGTCCGAGGGCTACGCGCGGCTGCGCTACAGGGACACCTCTCTGCTCATCTGGCAGCAGCAGCAGCAGAAACTGGAATCGGCTCCTCCCAACACGTACCTGAGCCGGAGCCGGAGCATGTGGTACTCGCAGTACGGCAACGAGGCCATCCTGGTGCGGGACAAAAACAAGCTGGATGTCTCCAGGGACACGGGGCAGTCCAAGTTTTGTGCCATTATGTGATTTCCGTGGGTTTAAATTAGGGAGCCGCGCATGGAGAGGAACCAGACTCGTGTCGAGCTGGGGGAGGTGGGTTTGCACCATCCTCTCTCAGAGGTGCAGCTGAAGGAGCGTGTACAGGATAGGCCAGACAGGCTGGCTGGAGTTTCTGTTTGTTTTTGCTGTTGATAGACTCCCATTTTGCATGTCATTGCGTGTGTGCAACAAAACCAGCCTCGCTCGGGAGCTCACGAGCCTGTTGCTGCCCAGCATCTTGGCAGGGTCCGTGCTGGACCATGTGTCGCTTGTAAGTGGCTCGTGTACCCTGAGAAACACCCGCTGTCATTTGGGCCTGTCCCCAGCCAGCATTTTACTGGCAAGTCCTTATTTCCAGGGCTCCGGGAATGCTGGTGGGGCAGAGGTGGGCGCAGATCCGTTTCCATCAGGGCTATGGTTTTGGGAACTTGATCTCCAAAACCACCTGGCCGCTACTTGTTCTGCTTGCCCTGTCCCCCTTTAATTCCTGCCCTGGAAGTGGTCTCTTACAACCAGGTAATGGAGTCATTTATTGTGGGGAGGAAGAGGGAAAGAACGTGTTGAGAATTTAATCCAAGCCTTCACAACACCCGGCAGGAAAGGTGCTCTGCAGTTTCATCCCGTGCAAAGCCCAGGGCCCTCTCTGATCTCACAGTGTGGGATCATGGAAATACCAGGACTTCTGGAGTCAGGGGAGCTGACTCCTTTCATGCAGGTAGATCCCTGGCCCAGCTTTGGGAGCAGATCACCCAGTGAACCACCTGAAAGAGAGGGACAGGCCCAGGAAAGCAAAGGAAGAAAGCTACTGTAAATACACACATCTCCTAAGGGACACGAGGAAAGTCCTACACAGCAGTACCTACCCCTGAGTCCAGTTGGAGAAGGGAAGAGTCCACTGAAATTTGCTTTCCATTCAAGTTTTAGTGCATGCAGTAGCTTGGAAGGGTTTAACTTCTAATTCAGGTTGGACTGTAGATTAGGTGCATGTATTTTAAAAGTAGTGTCTGGGATTGTTTCAACTAACTGAAGGATTTTAGGAGGGAAGAGCACTTCCACTGCAGCTCTTGGGCACAGAGGCTGCTTTCAGGTTGTTTCTGTTACCGCTGAATCCTGACTTGCTCAAGGCAAGATCAAGCTGAGGAACTCAGCCCAGCAAGCACCTGAATCTCTGTTAAAAACAAAACTACCACTTCCAGGGGTGTAAATTACATACCCAGGGCTCATCATTAAAACGTAACATCGGGGTGAAGTCACAGAGTCCATTTCTGTCCTGCCTAGGCCGCGTGTCTGACCCAGCAGCGCTTGGGCACGGGCTGAACTCCAGGCAAATCAGTATTTGATGTTGACTTCAGTATGGATTATTTACCTGCCTAAAATCAGGCACAGTCATTTCTTCTGTTATATTTATCTGAAACCTCTTTGGCATTTTTGAAGCACTTTTGTTTATTTATTTTAATCCAGTGAAGAATCTCTTCCACCTCTCCCACGTGGGTTAAATGCTGCAACACACACGTACACTCAACCTTGCTGAACTCAAGGTGCTGGGCAGAACACACCTGTTTTAACGTGAGATCGTAGAGGTTTTGTGTTCTCAGCCCTGATCCATAGCACTGCAAACAATAGGCAGCTCGTTATGTTTTAAAAGTAACTATTTCTGCATGTGATGGTGTTTGGTATCTTACGTGTGTGCTCGTAGATTTAAACCTGCTGATGGACCTCGCTGCTTTCCTTCCCCGTGCACTGCTCTGAACACAAACAGCCCTCTTGGTCTTGTCAGGACTAGCTCTGGAAGAGAAGTATGTCAGTGAATAAATGTTTTTCAACTGGGTATTCAATGAGATCCACAAAACCAGCGAGGCTTGGCAAGCTGCCGGTGCTCCAGAGCCCGGTGAGGTAGAGCATTGCCAGGGATGTGTGACCCCCCTGGGCCTCCAGTTCCTGGCTGAGTGAACAGGTGATTATTTACACAAACAAGCAGGAGGCTGGTCCAAGATCTCCCCTGGGAACTGCAGGTGGAAGCGACCTGGAGAGGCAGGAGAGGTGGGTTCTGGGCCTGCCCAGCAGCCCTGGGGAGCACGTGAACTCTGGGAGTTTAAGGAACAGCACATCCCCCAAACCAGCTGTTCATTTTCTTTTCTTATAGAAAAAGAATCCCAACACTTATTTTCTTTTTAATTTCAGTAAGAAAGACGGTTATTTTGGGTATAATCAGTCTCTTTTTGTTAATGTGGCTGGTAAACCAAAATTCAGTTATTTGCAGAGTGTTAATTTGGACTATACAAGACTCAAAACATAAGTGTGTGCATAAATTCTTCCAGGATTGAGGCTGGATGTGACAGTACAGGAAGAAGAGGATGAGTTGTCCTTCCATCTCTGTGAATGTGACTGTAGTTTTCCATATCTGTGTGTCACTGGTCACAGCAGGTTTGTGGTGTGGCTGCTGTGACCGAGCGTTTCTTTGAGCCAGTTGTGTGGTGTTGATGCACTTGTTTAAAACACCGTTGTAGCATCTTTGATAAAGTGCATTAAAATGATTTGAATGCAGCACTGTGAGCAGCTGTTTTTTCTCCTGCACCTCAACTGCTCTGGCACACCTGAGGATTACACTGTTGGCCCTCCCCATCCCCACACAGGTAGTTCCCACCTGGGAGGAACTGCCTTAGTTACTGGTGGGGCTCCAGAGCCCCACTACTGTACCTGTGAACACCAGCTCCCCAAGCCCAACAGCCCTGAAATCTCAGCAGTGCATTCAGGGACGAGGATCAGCCTCTGGCTGTCACACTGAATCAGAGAATCAGTAAGCTTGGAAAAGACCTCCAAGATTATTGCACCCAACCTGTGACCCATCACCACCTTGTCAACCAGACCAGAGCACTGAGTGCCACATCCAGTTGTTCCTTGGACACCTCCAGGGATGGTGACTCCACCACCTCCCTGGGCAGCTCCTTCCATGTCTTTCTTCCTTGCAGTGAAGGACCCAGAATTTAGGGTGTGACCTCCCCAGTGCACCCATCAGTACAGATATCAGCAGGAGCTGAACCTTACCTATCAAGTCTGCAAGAAACAGCACTGCTTGATTGACCTAGGAATAACTAAACAGTAAATGCCAGAGAAGACATCCTCATCTGCCTCACAGGAGAGTGTTTAGAGGACAGGCTGAACAAACACTTCCTTTGGGAGTATCACTGATACAACACAGTGACACTGATACAACAACAGGGAAGCAAAACAGGTTTGCTGAAACCTTGGAGATCCTGGCTCTGAAACCCAGTGGGCAGGAACAGGGTTAGAGAAAGATTAACCCTGGGGAAGCCTGGCTGTGTAACCCTCACCTCACACATAAACCATCAGGCACACAGTTGAGAAACCGAACAGCAAACCCAGCCCGCATCCTCTGCAGTGACTAAAATAGATCCTGGCCACCACACAGTAATGTCAAGACTCTGCTGGGACTGTGACCAGCTGCTCCAAGCCCCCCTTTTCCAAGCTGTGCCTTCCAGGTCACCCTGAGCTCACAGACCTGCGGGGTCTGGCTGGTGGAGCAGGTCAGAAAGTCCCTCTGGTTCCTTCGTGTTCTGGTGGCTTGAAAGAAGCCAGCACGAAACCTGGGTGAAATGTCCCTCTCCTTTCTGCTGAACTTACCTCAATCAGGTGCAATTCTCACACAACCTAAGAGCCCTGCAGGCTTCTAGGAAGAGTCAAAGTCCTTCCTGGGCAGCCCAGGTTAATGGAAGTAGCTGAGTGTCTCCCTCACCAACAGAAAGGTGCATTTAAAGAACCTCTACACCAGGTACTGAGCTGTGATTCGGAGCCCCCAGCCTTGCTCCATACTCTGAAGGCAGTCAGCCCCCCTCAGTGTGACACTCCACTGACAGCTGAGCTTGCAAAACGACTTTCAAATTATTCCAAGACTCACAGCACCAGGATTCAGTAAATCTACATTTGTGCATGGCACTGCTCGATCAAGGCTTGCAACTGGAGCAAGGGCCACACCTGAAAAAGGAGATGAGGAAAGGGAGGAGGAGAAGGGTGGAAAACATGGGATCAAACTGCACACACAAAACAATTTTTCTTTTTATTATGAAAACAAAACAAATGCCCCAGGACCAGGGTCCGTGATTACCAGTAACATCAAAGATTACTTTCTAACTCTTTTTTTTTTTTTTTTTTAATTCTGTTGTGTTTGAGGCCAGCAATTTGCAATAAACAAGCTAAACTACTTACATTGACTCGTTTCTTTTTCAGTAACTGACATTTACAGGAATATACTAGAAATGGCACTAAAAAGTTTTAAGAAAAAGAGTTACGGTAAATTTGCATGCACATCATACAGAAAAGTAACAATATTTTTTATTTTAAATATTAAAAAAAACCCAAAATAACAAAACAAAAATACAACAACAAATCTCTCTGGATTAGGTTATGCCAGTATCAGGGCTGTGTTCTAAGTGGCCTGTGTCAAATCCTAGCCGGTGGTTTAATTTATTTTTAAAAATGACACTTTAAAAAGATATGCAAATACCATTTTCTTTAAAAAATGCAGCTCAAGCAAGATAATGCTGCTAGTGTAATGAATCCTAAATTTATCTTTAATGATGCAGAGCCTGCCCACAGTTAGCCCTAGTGGTAACTGCTCATGGTTGAGAATGGAATGAGATTTTAAAATCCAGTACTAAAAAGGTTGTGTTTTTACTTTGTCATGCCCCGATCCCGTCCCCCCAGCTCCAACCCCAACTTTAAAAAACATCATTCCTTTCAAAACAAGGAAAATAAAAATTAAAAACTGGTCTAAAAGTCCCCAAAACAGAGAAAGAACTAGATTAGGTAACTGCAGTCTGCTTCTACCACATAGAGAACATGGAAAGAGACCTCACGGGGTGACTAAGTCGGATATTTACACACACACATGGCTGTGTGTGTGTGTGAGGGGGGTGTCACACACAGTCCTGAAACATCAGTTCTACAGTTACAAACCCTGTCGGTAGGAAAGGTTAAAACCACATCAATACAAAATTGAAATGATTCTGTACAGACAACATTTGGTTAGCAGAGAACTGTTGTAGCCAACAGGTTCCTTCGGTCGATGGATCAGGGCCTGAGCCCACGGGATGCAGATCTCCCTCTGGTCCCACTGAGCCACGAGACAGGCTGAGTTTACAATCAGAGAAAAGTTTAACAAAGTTTTTAAAGGTGCAATAATGCTGGTTGATTGGATAAAGGTCTGGTCAGATATTTTGTCAAAACAGGAATTCGTCAGAAAAAGCAGTTTCAATAAAACTCTTTGTGTGTATGCATACATATGAAATCATACTGATTTCAGTGAAGTTTCTCCTGGAAAACAAAGTTAAACTTTGTTCATTCAAGAAAAATTCTACCATAAAAATTTATTTTTTTTTCTTTTTTTTTTTTTATTCTTAAGTTTAAAAATGTTATTTCAAACGTTCTATGCTTGATCATTTTAAAGTTATTTCGTGACATCCGTACTGACACATCATGCAATACAAACTGAGTTAAATAAATGCTCTATTGTTTCAGTTCCCAACTCATTAAGGGCTGCTGCTACTTACTATGGACTGGAAACATCTCTTCTTTCCTGGAGACACTTGGGAGATACAAGAGGCACCACTACAGACATGGTGGGGGATAATGAGCACTATAAACAGTGTGAGAATGGAGAAGTGTAAGAACAACATTTGGAAATGAGGAGTCCCCGACTCCTTCCCTGAAATGAAGGTCATGCCAAAATGGATTCCTCCTGTGAGCTGCCATTTCGTAGGGAACACCTCACTTTCCATGAGAACAGTTTCCCTCTAAGTGGTAGCCCAAGTTGCAGCCGGTAGATCAAAGATATGCAGGTAGTTCTTCACGCTCCGGGGTGGTTTTGGCAGGTTGTTTTCCTTGAAAACCCCCAAGCTGGGGTGGTTTACCAGCTAAAAGAGGGATCCTCCTCCAGCCCTGCAGCCAGCCTCAGGCCAGGCCCCTTCCCATCGCTCCACACGTGGTCCCCAACCCTTTGGCCTCCAGCTTTCCACTGATTTTGGTGGAACAGACCTGCGGATCCCAGAGGAATGTCTGTGCCCTTGCCGTGCTCCAGGGGGGCTGTCCTTGCTGTCAGAGGATGGTGGGATGCTGCAGAGCCACGTCCCCAGGTGGGCAGTGATGCTGCTGAGATGCTTTTGCCTCCAGCACCGGCTCCGGTTTGTTCTCCACAAGGGAGCGACCACCACAGCCCATCAACAGCACAGCTCAGGTTAATGCACACAGGAAAAGGTTCCAAGCAGGGCAAACCAAGAGCTTGTTTATCCAAGTTGTCATGGCAGTGAATTGGTTGCAATTAGTTCAACTAAAACACGAGCTGGTTTTGATAATGCAAGTCACACACAGAAGGAGAAGCACAGATGAAACCCAACCCCGTTAAAAAGAAACCCAAGCTCTTAATGAGGTGAATATTACATTTCCTCGTGTAAATTCTGAAAATATATTACTAAGGATCTGTCTGGGGGGAAAACTTTTTAAGGGTAGGATTTTTAAAAAAAATATAGGAACTAAAATAACTCCATTGTCAATAGAAAAGAAAAATAATTAACTTCAGTAAGAATCAGAACATGTTCCTTTCAAATACTGTGGGAAACAATCTGAAAGGCTTGAGAGCCTCCTGCCCACTGTGGTCACCACCAGATTTTGAAAGGCAGATGGCCAAGGTCCAGCTAATCAAACCTTGGTTATGGGGCAGTAAGTGACTGGTGGATGCAGCTGAAAATGCAAACCATGGAATGCTAAGAACAGGCTGGCCCTGTGCTTCCCAACTTCCCAGCACAGGGACATCACCCAGATCCCACATTTGCACCACGGGGCCTCTGGCAAATCACTGAGAGACCACAGGAAGATGAATTTTAGGGCTACCCCACATTAGAGAGGCAGCTTTGGGGGCTGGTGCTGGAGAAGGAAAGGCATAACTTTCTGTTAGAACTGTGTATTTTTTCTTTAAAGAATTTACAATAAACTTCTGCCCCTCAGATTACAAATTTTATATAATTATAGAACCGGTGTTTTCCTGAAAGTTGGATTAGAAAAGGATAAAACCCCCACTGTTCTACCAAAGAAAAAAAAACACCCAGAGGGGAGGAGGAAAAAGACCATTGGAAATATCACTGAGAAAAATCAAGAAATTGTATCTGACTGTATGTCTCCAAAATCTGTACAAAACAGGAAAAAAGGGGGCTGGGGTGAAAAGAAAGAAAAAAAAAATGTAAAAATGAACACACCAAATATGACAGAGCACCAGACACATGACAGATGGGACTGTAGCACCTGTAGGTATGAAGCCCAAGGTATATAAATAAAGTTGCAGATTTTTATTTGCTTTGTTGGTGTTAATTTGTTTGTTTTTGAGATCTGGTTGGAACCTCATTAAAAGTCTGCACGTCTGCTGGCCTGCAGAGATGCAGCTTTGCTTTTGTTAGGTTTTATTACATTTTAAATGACCAATGGTATTTAATAAATAAAGTCACGGTATATACATGAAATTAGGGACACTGAAAACAGAGTGTATTGCAGCAGTGCAGGTCAAAACATTAGGCTGGACTCAAAAAAAATAGCAAGTCTTAAAAAACTGGCTCTTTTCTTCCTTTTCTCCCTCCCCTCTTTTTTCTTTTCAGCGAGGTGAAGCACTTCAGTGCCTGGAAACCTGCACCCTGCACGACAGAGAAGTAGCATTCCCTTTGTGGGAGCTCACTACTGAAACAATAAGGAGAAGGGGGGGGGGGAAAAGCAAACTCAAGCAGAAAACCCAAACCCACACAAAATCCCTCTCCACTTCCCCTGCCAGCTCAGCCTCAGCTGGAGCTCAAGTGGTGCTTTATTTTAAGCCCAGACTGAGGTGCTTGTCATGGAGAAAATCCCTAAGCTTGTGTCCAGTAACGAGCACATGACTTGTCTTGGTCACTGCAGGATCACCCCAAGGTCCAGCTGACAACTTCCAGCCAAAACCTGTTTTCAGCTCAATGAAAACTTTCATAGAGAGCATCCATTTCCTGGAAATTATCTATTTCATGTTAAAAATAACATTCCCAAGAAACTTGAGTGTCCCTCGCTCCCTTCTTCCCAATGAATCCCCAGGAAAAAATGAAACTTCTGAGTGGAAAACCAAGAAATGCAACCACTTATATTGCTCATGTGCTTAAAAGTTAAATTCATGCTTAAATACCTTCCTGAATAGGTGCCAATGCCTCTACCAAGATTAAAAAAAAAAAGCATGTTAGCAATCCACAGTACATGAGAATTTTTTTGGATTTTTTTTTGTTTGTTTTTATGTAAAAAGATGATAGCATCTGACATTTTCATCACACCGTAGACTTCGAGATTAAGAATACTAGTGCTAATAACAAATACACCAACTAGTTCAAAAGCTAACATCTTTCAGATACAGTACCATTTTACAGAGATTCCTTTAAAAAAAGATGGGTTTTTTTTTTACCTTGTGTGAGCCAGGCAGGCTTATTAAAAGAGAACATTCTGAGGAGAGGGAAGGGATGGGAGAGAAATGTACTACAAACCTTGCAGAATTTTCTATTTATCTCCTGCTAAGAGCTCAAAGTTCTTCCATTTTCAACAATTTTTTTTTCGGATAAATGTATTTTAGAGACTTTATGCAAAGGGAACTATTTGTCATAAAGTCTAATTCACACGCACACGCAAAGATCTTTGACCTATTAAAAGAGAGCACCCCCCCCAAAAAAAAAAAAAAAAAAGGAAAATACCTTTTATAACACTGAATTAAAAAATAAAATAAAAAAAGTCAGAGAAAGAGAGAGAGGGGATAAAACCTGACCACCGTGGGAGGAGAGCAGTACGTTAAGGAGGGGAAGGAACACTGCAGAGCATCGGGGAGGGGGATGTCCGTTTGTTTTGTGTCCCAGTGTCCGTAACTCATTCCGAATCGCTGCTGTCCGAGCTGGAGCCGCTGGAGCTGCTGCTCCCAGACTCGGAGGAGCTGCTGCTGCTGAGCCGGGAGGGGCCTCCAGAGGGAGTGGAGCCGGATTTCTCTGCGGGGAAGAAGGGGGCGATGTGGTTACTCGCAAGGAACTGAAATAGAGAAGGTTTGCCCACAGCCTTCATCCTCCCAGGCTTTGTTCCCAATTTTCCCTGGGCAGCTTACTTAACAGCAGCCTTTGCTTGCTGCCAGAAGCCTGTCCTGTCAGTGGATGACAGGGTTCCTCAGGCTGCAGGTGACCATGGAAGTTTGGGATCCACACAGGAGCTCTACAGGAGGGCAATGCCCCCCCACAGCCCTACAGGTTCAGGTGAGAGAGCACCTGGAGCTGTGCCTGCTTCGGTGCAACTCTGAGCACAGGAAAAACCCCCTCCTGACCTGTGCAAAGCTGGAAACAGCTTTGTTTGCACTGGAGGAACTTTTTGTAGCATCTTCCACAATTGAACTACGTGGGGCTCGGGCTTTTTTTTAATCCCACAATGGAGAAAAGTCACGTGTTAGATGCTCTGTGGTACTGGTCTGTATGCACAGGCTAATACAGAGGAGATCCTCCTCCCTCTGAAGGAGAAATTGCCTCCAAGACACCTCTCATTTACCACCCAGAGTTTCCACCTGGACAGGGACCAAAGCTGACCCCACACAGGAGCTCAGTGCCCAGCAGTAACAACTGGGGTACCTGTCACAGAGACAAACCCAAGGCTGCAAGAAGGCGGAGGTTTTGTCTCTGTGAGTCTGTCTACACAGCTTCTGGGGTTCTGTTTTTACAGTAAAACCAAGGCCATTACCTTTCTTTGCAGGTTTCTTGTTGTTGTTTAGCTGCCCACTGACGTCCTGTAACCGTTTTTCTAGTTCTTTCTTCTTTTCCTGAGCTAACTCTTCTTTTGACTTCGCTGCTTGCTTTTTTCCACCTGCAGCTGGGGAGGAGGAACACACAGTTTCTGAAGCTGCATGGATGCAGGGGAAAAGAGTGGACATCACTATTTTACAGGGCATGTAAATCTGTGTGAACACTCTACAGTGACACTGCTAAGATCAAGTGATCACACAGCAACTACACATCCCAGATAGAAGACAACATGTGAAGTTGTCCAATCACCACCATCCTCTAAACATGCATTTTTTTTAAGAGAGGTCTTCTGGAAAGTATTTTAGAAGATAGAAATATCCATGTAATGACCTTGTCATTACAGGTTACTTACCAGCCAGTTATATGGTCAATAATTACACATTTGTAATTACAGAATTGTTACATGGGTTTTCTGCCCTGTAAAATAAAGTGTCCCATTAAAGGTTGTCAGGAGAAAAGCATCTGCCAATCAAACTTCCGGTACCTCATGCAAGAATCTACTGTGGTTTATGTTGCTCTAAATATAAAACAAAACAAACAAGGGCAAATTAAAAACCAACTGAGGCAAAGGCTGGCAGACAACAGGAATGTAGCTGCACCAGGATGGAAATGGTGAGAAGTACCAGCAATACTGCAGAGGAAATATTCCTCCAAAAGAAGGAGTAATTGAATGCAGGTGTTGGCCAGGATCAGAAACACCGGGGCCAGATATTTTGCCTGATCCAGCAAGGAAATACCTACGTTTCTGTGCACTACTTTTAAGCAATGATTTATAAAGAAAGAAATCTGGAAAACACAGTCCTAAGAGGGTGCACCCCTGAACACTCATCTCAATAGTCCAGCTGGGGTCAGGCATGGCAGGCTCACAGGTTGGACACCTGAGGTTATCTGTGTTACTTTATGTTTTGGTTCCAAAATTAAGGATGCTTTTTGTTCCTAACCACTCTGGAAAATCCTATCCTGAGCTCTTCCAATAGCGAAGGATTCGGGGGAAAAACTAAATTAAAGCAGCGTATTAAAAAAAGAAAAAAGAAGGGTCAAAGTCTGCAGTTTGCTTAGGCCCATGTGAAAATCCTGTGGGGAAGAAATGGAGCTGCTCTGCAAGAGTGGGGAGTGGCTTTTGTGTCATGGCCTTAACAGCACAATTCCCTCTTAGCCAGGACCACTTCAGGTAAGTGATCCTATTGCTGTTTAGCTGGAGCTAAACCCTCAAGGGGCTGTGACAATTCACCTTGTGGAAAAGGCACAGAGACAAGTCTGTCCCTCACTGAACCACACACTCAGTGGCACACGAACACTAACCCTCTGAGCTGAGACACTGAGGGCAATCTGGTGATCAGGCCACATAGGAAGAACAGTTTTGGGCTGAATATACAACTCAGACACTTACACCCAGAATCCACATGTTGCCCAGGTAACTTTGTACAAGTTATTTATTCCCTTGGGGGTTTGGATCCCAACCATGCTTTTTATTTCCTTTCTAATTAGATGCTGAACTATTCAGGATAAGAAACTGATCCTTCCAGATGTGTACACATAACACCTAACACAATGAGACTGAAACCTTTACAGTGCCTTCCAGAGTCTGGATAAGTAATAAAGGCATCACACACGTCTTGCAGAGGAACACAATAGCTCTCCAGGTCTCTGCAGCACGACATCATGGGAAGAAAGAACAGAAAAAAAAAATAGAAAGTTTCTGTACATTTTCTTGGGAGAAAAGGATCTCTAAAAGAACCCCTGTCGTCACATACCCAACAGCTGGATAAGAGAATCTCAACACACATGCCCTGACTCCAAAGCTGAGCCCAAGAGCTGGTGGGGGGAACACGTGCCCCGGGAGGTAACTTACAAAACGGTTTCCTTTGTTTTTTCTGTAAACAAGATTTCACGTATCTCTCCAGTTCTCGTAAAGTTGTGGGCTTCAACGTTTCAAAATCTATTTCTATCTCATCGGGATTGGAGTCTCTGAGGGAAGGTTCCCGGGACTGGATGATGTGCACCACCCTGCCGAGCTTCTCCCCGGGCAGGCGGTTGATGTCCAGGCTGAGCTGTCGTTTCTCATCATAGGTCATGGGCAGACCTTCCTCCTCCTCATCCGAGTCATAGGTTGCAGATGCCTGTTTGCCTCCTTTCTTGGGCTGCCTGGGGAGGTTGTCAAGCATGAAAATATCCATGGGTACATAGAAGCAATGAATCCTTTCTTTTTTTCTAACTCCCTTGTAACAAACATCCCAATGCCCTTGGCTTTGAACCTCTTGTCAGACGGCTTGAACAGCACCACAACTGCTGAAAAAGTTCAGCCATCTGAGATCAGCTGTTTTATTCCTATTATATTTTAGCCCTGTGAAGCGTGGCAACAAGCCCCAGTGGCAGCAGGGGGGCAGCAATGAAGTGGCACGTTCCTGGTGGCCGCACAAAAGGCAAAACCCAAAACCTTATCTGAGAGCGATCAGGCAGGGATTCTAAGGGTTGGACAGTGAAAACATAATAGTTCCACTGCCAGCTCTAACTTAAAGACTCCCTGGAGTTGTCTGGGAATGGGGACACTATTCAACAGCAAATTAACTGCTCTGACAACTGAGCTTCCCCAGGAATTAATTAAGAACAGGGCTGGAAGCTCTTGGCTCTCCCCTCGAGGCACCTTGCAGAAGGCAGGCTCTCACCTGTTTGCTGTGGTTGTGCTGTTTGCTTTCTTAGCTGGGGCTTTCTTCTGTTGGGTTTGTTTTGGTGGCTGAGCCACCTTGGGTTTCTTCTCCTCCTCGGTTTTTACTTTGTGCTTTTCTTTTTCCTTCTCTTTATCTTTCTTTTTCTTCTCTTTTTCCTTCTTCTCTTTTTTTTTCTTTGGTTTGTTCACTGGCGCTTGTGACAGTGCAGCCAACTGCTCGTGGACAGCCTTCAGCTGGGGGAGAACAGGGAAAAACTGATCAGCCTTCAAGGCAGGATAGTTGATGCCTCCACTACCCTTCTTCTACATCCCAAGGTGTAAGTATATCCCAAAGTCAGTGACATACTCTGGGATCCCAGAAGGGAGCACAGAGCATCAGCACTGAGACAAAACTACCATTACATCAAACACTCGCTTATTGCGCAGCTGAGTGTTTTCCCCCTTTAGTTGGGAGAAGGGGAGAGTGTTTTCCTGCATCCCAGCCTAGATGGGATTTTTAAGAACAAAATCAACCCCTTCCTCCTGCTGTGCCCTTTCTGCTGCACTGACACACAGCTGAGCTGTTGCAGTACCTGCTCCTGGAGCTCCGCCAGCCGAGTCGCTCGCTCTTCCTCCGAGTCGGAGCTGTCGGAGTCAGAGGAGCTCTCCTCGCTGCTGTGACTGCTCTCTGTGCTTTTGCTCACCACTGGTGCTGTTGGTGGAGGTGGAGGGGGGGCCTCTGCAGGCTCGTCAGGCATTTTTGCAAACCTCATCTCAAAGACATCCTACAGAAAGGAGGAAAACTGGTGACTAAAGGAGCCTCGGCCACAAACAGCTCGCTCGGGCCTTTTAAACACATCAGGGTCTTATTGCACTACACAAGGTCCTGTATAAGTAAATAATAATATACAGAAGATGTATGGCCATCTGTAAGGTCAAGAAAATTCTCCCATTACTTTGGCAGTAAGGATTATAATTTTTTAGGAGTGGAACGTGGCATTAGGCCACGTCATGGCGAAGAGCACAACTCTGCAGGAGAGCACAAGGCTCTTTCCAAGGGCTGGAGAAATCACCGGCTCTCCTTGGCTGGTGCCAAGAGCAGATCCACACCTGGACCTCTGAACTGACACCTTGTAGCTGAACTAAAGGTAACTCTGCAAGACACATTTGCCAACACCTTTACCTGGAGCTTCCTGGCCATGGCTACCACTTCGTGGTCTGGAGGATTGTACTTGTAACAATTAGAGAACATTAACCGAATATCTGCTGCGAAACCTTGTGCATCCTGGTATTCCCGACTGTCCATTTTCTTCTGCAAACAAACAAGCCAAAGGGAAAAAGGGGAGAAAAAAAGCCATGAGCAAAAGGCATTTGTAGCAACTGCAGGGAGGACAACGTGCATCTTGGAGACAGAGCAGCCTGAAAAGTCCCATTTGTCTAAGAGAAGGGTAGTTTGATTTGGGTTATTGGTTCCTAAATAACACTGAGTTTCTGCTTTATAAAACAAGCAAACAAACACCAGGCAACCAAAAGAAGTTGATAATGCTCCGTAACAGTTTAAACACTAAGATTCTAAATTTGGGTTGTTTTCTAAGTAGTAAAATATAAATCTGTCCACATTCTAATAGGAAACATTTAGAAAAAGGGTTTGCTGGAACTAATACAAAGATAATGGATGTAAAGGGCAAGAGTCAATGAGCAAGTTACAATTACAGGAGTACCTTCAGTGTGTATTTCTGTGTGCTGCTTGGGTATATTTGCCCTGTAAATCTGAAAGGGCAGAAAAGATGATGAAAATCTGGCTCTGACTTCCTGCTAACACAGGCAGGAAGATTGCTTGGCAATTCCTACAGCAAAATAGGTATTTACAGTTAAACTACACCACCTATTTCTGATTTAAAAGCCCAATTGATACAGAATTCCCCCTTTACGAACCTGTTCATAATGTTACTTCCTAGTGTAGTGAGAAAAAGTATCAGGAGCTAAATATTTGCACCTTGTTCCTTTCTCTTATTTCTCAGCTCTCATTTCTGTCCATTTCTCTTGCTGTTTGGGACTGAATGACGTGGGTTTAGAGAACAGTTTATAGCATTCCTAGCACTTAATTGATTTTATGCATATATTACTACTATGTATAAAACCTTAGCTCCAATTACTCCTGCTGAAAGGAAAGAGAAACTAACACTAGATTTCATTTGCATTTAAAAGACCTGGGTTTAAAGAAATTCTCTATTTGCCAAGTGCATACAAGCCTCCCTTTTGTATATCCTGTGCACCTGTATCCCCAGTGAAGGGAAGGGGCTGACTGGCAGACAGGGTGCAGACAGACATTCCCCATCCCAGCAGAAATCTGGGATGTTCAGGGTCTGTCATCCACCCCAAACACAAGCAAAATCACCATTTGTCCAATGAAAGCTACAGAAATTTCACATCTACATGAGAGACCTTGTAACTATCTGGAAACACTGCAATGGCTCCCAGAACTGTTTCTGCTGGGAACAGGGCAGAATTTCACCTCCAGGGATGCAGATTCAGAGGGACCTGCTCCAGGGTGGTGACACTCCTGCAGCCTTGCTCCCTGCTGTGCTGCCCCTGCCAGACATCTGTCAAACTTTTGTCAGGAGAACTCATTCTCTTGGTGAATAAACCAGGAGACAGCCTGGGAGCCACAGCACAAAGGCAGAAAGGGAAATAGGTTTGTGGTGCTCCCGCCTGAAAAGCGTCTCGGGCCAATTCCAAAGCAAAACATATGCTCAGGCAAAAGGGCTTGTTTATTTTAAAATACATCTTACTGTAAGAAAGGCCTTTTTATATTTGTTTGGCATATTCAGTGCCTGATTACTGCCTATGAAATACATTCCAGCGTCCGAGGCTCTGCTTTTCATCCAAACTCAACACTTTTCTAGCCCAACACTTTTAATCTGTGGATTTTTGTTTTGTTTTCTTGTAAAGAATAATTATCTTAACAAAAGTAATAAAGGCACTTTAAATTGGTGGGTGGAATATCTGTGGTTACAAATACACTTTGAGATATCCAGCTGCTTAAAAAAAAAAGTGATTACATTTACAATTGCAAATCAGGAGCCACAGACAAGCAGGACTGGTAGAGGTACAGGCAGGCCAGCTCAGCCATTCTCTGTCCCACACGATGTCTACCCACAGCAATCTCATTTTTCCTCAACAATCAATTGTTCAATACTTGTTAATGTTCATAAACTTTTTTTCAATGTTTATTTACTTCCTAATGTCTTATGTGTCTCTTGCTCTAAGGTAAGCCTTGTCCTGCCCAGAGTGTGCAAAGAATGTCTCCTCACTTTCAAGACCCTGAACTTGTCTGTTCTGAAACTACAGCAACTCACTGCAGGAAAATTAACCCATGAGCACAGTTAGGTCCCTGGAGGTAGTGCTTTACTACAAGTAGAAATCCTCTTGCACAGCAAGGACTGTTGCTTGTTCACCACTGAGTAAACCAAAGGCAGAGACATCCACATTGCTGCTGCTGTGACCCAGCAGCAGGTCACTACTTCAAGCAGTTCTGCTCTTTCCCTCTCTGTGATGGCCATCAAAGAATTGAGGTGGAGATGAGCTCATGGATCCCGTCCCTTCAGCTGTTCTCACTCTGTCCTAGCTCCAGCACAGCATTCCAGCACATCCCTCTGCTCCTGGCTGCAACAAGCTCAGCTACAGCCTCTCCATCTCACCTGCCACCGGCACAGTCACGACAGCCAAGCTGCCTCCTCCACCACACACAGAGAAAACAGCCTCCAAACCCTCCTGAATTCACCTCTGCTGCGTGCACAGCCTGGGAAAAAAGTGCTCCTGGACATGAAGGATATTCTCTGAGGAAAACCAAACCTCACATGACCAGAGAACCGAAGTGAAAAGACATATTATAGCTGCAGCAATGCTTGTGTTTTAGTTTCTCACATAATTCCTTCCAGATTAGTTTGAAGGCCGTTAGTTGTGCTGCTTTATCACAGCCATTGTCACTTGTGCAGAATTAAATCTAAAACCTTTCAGAACCACGAAGAAAGTCCCTGACACTGGAAAATTACACTGCCTGTAAATAGCAGCTTTCTGTTCCACACAGTTAACATATTATGGACTGCATCTCAGAGAAGTCACACTGTGATCTACAGGCCAAGAGCAATGATAATAAAACACTCCATAAAAAAACAATACCAGACAGCACTTCAAACAAGTTTATTAAGAGAAATACTACCATGTGAAAAGACAAACCCAGAGTCTTTAGGCATAAAAGACTCCACTGGGTCTGTCATTAACCTGTCTCCAGCTTTCTGCCCTACACTAGTCAGGCACAGAGGGAGACTATCACCTGCACTTACAGATAAAGGACAGAGTTGCACTATTTTAAAAGAATGAAGTCAGGACTATGAAGAGATTTAAGTGTGAAGAAGTCACCAAGAAATCACAGTTTTGCACCTACATTTTGCATAATACAGCACAGAAGTCACCTAGGAAGTAGCAGCCTTGAGAGAGTCAGGATTTCACTCTCTTCATCTCTAATCTTACTGCATTCACCTGGGACTCGATCTACCAGGCTGCAGATATCTCTGGAGACCCACAGCATCCCTAGGAAGTCAAGCTGTAGTAAGAACCCCTGCAGCATCATGGCTGAATGGCAGGGCACATCTGAGCACGACACACTGGTTCCAGATACTACCTAGGATTTACCAAGGAACACAAAAGGAATCATGAACACAGTTGCTCTCCTGTTACCTGGGCACTTAAGACAATCCCAGGCATTGTCTCACTGGCAGCAAAACCCTTCTGTGAAAGCCAGCAGAAACACTTTAACCTCCTGCACACGGAAGTCTCATCTCCACCAACACAGATTCCAATGGCTGGCTCACAAGCAGAAGATGGGAACTAGAAAGATATGGCTTTGCTACATGAATATGCAGAAGGGATTCAGAAAATCTCCCAGTCTACTGGGAAGAATACTTTGAATATAGAACCATACTAAGCTAAACTCTTAAATAGCCATGAACCCTGCAACCCTCATGTTATTCCTCCCCGAGTACCAGATCATCACACCCTGGCTGGAATTGCTCAGTGTAAGCCTATCTGGACCACACATCATGCCAACAAGTAGGTAGGCAACAGTTTCTGGAAATGGGATACTATCAATTGAATCCTATGAAATATAGCACCTCTTCTTCTCAGAGTGCAACACAATCCCAAGGACACCAGTTAAATGGCTGGACTATCCACAAAGAGGAGAAGATGCCATCTTACTTTGTTTTGCATACATCATCTGCTTTGCAAGGCAGAAACAAAAAGCTGCCCCAGGTTATGGGGAAACAAAAAAAAAAAAAGGAGAAGGGAAGGAAACAAAATATAAAAATATCCAGCTGATATCCAAACAAGTTCAGTTTCCACCCTCGTCCCTTCCCCCTCCCCCAGAAGGAGCCAGTCCTCTGCAACCAGAGGGCTGTGACACCCTGCAAAAGAGGTGGCAAATGAGGACGTACTTTCACAGTACTGAGATCCATGGGGTGTTTGATAATATCATGATAGTCATGTAATTCCAAGGCCTCTGCATCAACGGGCTTGTAAAAGGGCCACGCATAGGCTGCGTGTTTCTTGGAGAGCATCTCCTTGAGGATGCTGTCACAGTACTTGAGGTGCTCAGAGAGTTTGCCCTTCTTCCCTGCGTGCTGGGGGACCTCTCCGTCTTCCAGGTCTTTCTTTGGTGGTTTGATGGGCCGGCCGCCGCTCTCCCGCCGCGCGATGATTTTGGCCTGTTTGGGGTCCGAGAGGGGCGTGGGGGACTCGCTCCGGCTGGCAGTGATGGCAGAGGTGGTGGGGGTGGTCGTGTCCGCTTTCCGCTTCACTCCCTTTTTCTGAAACAGCAGATGGACAGGCTCTGTGAGCCCTCAGGCCAGCAGGAAACCCCAGCACAGCCCTGCCTTATTTTTTTGCCTGTCCTCTCACAGAAAACACGGTTATTTCACTGGGGTAAACGGGACTCGTGAGCAGAGGCTTCAACACACAATCCATGACCACAACATGATGTATCGCTGCACATCACCTGAGCCACGGTAACCAACCATTTGCACGTCTCCAACCCAACCCCAGCCACGATGCAAAACGTGTTAGCTCTAAGTATTTCACTGAGACTTAAGCCAAGGACTCTTACCTCATGTTTGCCAAGGGAAAGGAGCGCGCCCGGTCGATTACTGCAGCTCAGCTGATGCATCGGGACTTAGCAAGTGTCAGTAACTTAACCACATGTCTGAGTCCCCAGTGGCAGGATCAGGCTATAAGTTCTGAACCAAAGCATATTAATCACCAAAGACCCACAAGCCCTCACTCCCCTGTATTTAGTGGGTGTGCTAAGGTAGATTTCGCCTTAAGCAAATAAACCCTCGCACATAAATTCAAGCTGTGACTGTCCAGTCAGCTCTCTTGTGCTCCTACGAAGGATTTATTTCTCTGGAGAGGGAGAAAGGGAGGAAAAAGTTCCTTAGAGAAATCTAAGGGAAATCTTAAGTAAATCCCAAGCAGAATTAATTTTGCAGCGTGTATTTGGCAAACTCACTTCTGGTTTCATCCTGGAGTTTTAAAATTAAATTGATTCTCAGAAGCAAGTTATTTGGACAGAAACTGAAGGATGAGACAGGTTGCTGAGGAGGATAGCTCAGCTGCAAGATCTGACTTCTCTAGTAATTCTCTGATTTCTCTAGTAATTCTCTGATTTCTCTAGTAATTCCCAAAATTTCTCTAGTAATTCCCAAAATTTCTCTAGTAATTCCCAAAATATAGGGTTAAATAAAAAAAAAGAAGGAAAAAAAAAAAAGTGGTTTTTCTGGTCCAAGTGACCTCACCAGTACTGTTGCAGTTCCTTCCCCGGTTTAGAAAAAACCCCACCAGCTTTCTCTGAGCTATGCTTTCATCATTTTTAAAGCAATACACAGTTTGCTAAGAAATTTCCAATTATCTAGAGCAACATTTTCGTTTACCCATAAATTAACATAATAAATAGCAAAACACCAATGACAACTCCCAAAAGATTACTCAGTAGGGAAGACAGAACTAATGCACCCAAAACCTGCAGGCAACATCACTCTCCTCCAGCTGGAGTGACAGGCTTGTCTTGAACTGGTTTAAAGCAGAGAGGAACATTCCTAGTGCTGGAGCCCAAAAACCTTAAAGGAACAGTCCCAGTAAAACCAGGGGCTCAGTTACAGTGGGAAGAGATGCTTTGGTGAAAAATGGGAGGAACCTCCAACAGCCTTCTGGTTCCTGGAGCACCAGCACTGGGGAAGGCCATGGTCAAAGGAGAGCCTGGAACTGAGTTGGAGCAATCACAGTTGGCATCACCTCGACTGGGGTGTGTGGTAAAACTGCCAAAACTCTTCTGAACCCCCTAAAACTCAACAGTGACCACTTGTCTGAGCTCACCCCAAAGGGACAACAGTGTCCAGAGAGGCAGAGGCACCCGTGAAGAGGAGGAACGCGCAGAGGCAGCAGCGAGGGGACGAAACCCAAGCGCTGCCCAGAAACGTCGCCTTGTGAAGCAGAGGAAGAGCTCTCCATTTACCTTGACCACCGGTGGCGTGGGAGGCACCACGGGCATGATTGGAGCGGCAGGAGGAGGGGGGGCGGCGGTAGGGGGCAGTGACGGGCGGGACATTGGAGGTGATGGTTGGCACGGGGGTGGCAGCAATGACGGGCGTCTGAGACACGGCTGGAGGGACGTTCTGGAACGGCGCCGGCGGGGACACGGAAGACACGGCCACGGCTTGCTGAGCTCCTTCAGAGGATAAAGAGAAATCTCACCGCAGCGAACTGGTGGTTGCAGGTGCTGACAGGGCAACTGGGTACACAGTGAAACACGGTGGGACTCTTGGGGATGTCCTGTGCAGGGCTAAGAGCTGGGCTCAATGACCCTTGTGGGCCCCTTCCAGCTCAGCATATTCTGTGTGGTGCCACTGGACTGTGCACTCATGGGCTTGGCAAAGGGCTCAGGGCACAAAGGACACTGATTTGCACAGTGCTGTTACCCAGGGCACAACAGAAATGAGAAATCTCTGACCTAAGTCCTCGCACCACAAGCCACATGCAAGCAAAATACTTCCAGCTTTGCACATGGGGTGTGTGTTGCTCTGGGACAGTCCTCACTCCTCTCAGGCCCTCACAGCTACAGTGAATTCATCAAACAGCAGGAGCTCAAGAAGGTGGAGCAGAGGGAGGTGGTTCATGCTATGCAAATAGTAGCAACCACTCCCCTAAGCCACCTAAACACCCAAGAGTCCAAAGCACTTCAGATTTGCCACAAGTACACATGGTGTGATTCCTGGGATTGCCCTGGGCAGGGACAGGAGCTGGACTCAATGATCCTTGTGAGTCCCTTAAAACTCAGGATATTCCACGATTCTGTGATTCTAAGAAGAGCTTAAGTCTTCTGATAGCCTGAATGTCTCTGAAGCTATACCTGGACTGTTAAAGAACTGCTTGCTAGTGTAATGTTAAAGGGGACAAACCTAGTAACTAATAACCAAAGAAGCAAACCTTTTCTACGTTTTAGAGCAGCTTTTATCAAGGGATGTTGAAAAGACACATCATCACAAATTTCTCTGAGCTTGGATAAAGTTATAGCTCCATTTAGGACCTGGGATGTGGGAAAACAGAGGAACAGTTGACTTTCCCAGAGAGACAATCAGACCTTGTTTAGAGAAAGAAAAAATTGCAACACAAGCTCCTTTATGAACAGTTTTACCATGCTTAGACATTTTAGTCCGAAATCCATTTAAAATCAACTCTAGGTAAGCTGAACTAAACTTAGTTTCCACTGACATGTAATGGTCTGCACAGCCCTCTGCAATGGCTTAATAAATCTCTTCTGTTGATCAAACTTAAATTCTAGGATATTGCAACTGTGTGTGCAAAAAAAAAACCACATTATACAGGGTTTAGGGGAGTGGCAAGATTTGAGTCCAAGTCTTTGCTGTGTCAGATTTCTGCCAAGAACCAGGGTGAGTTGTAAAAACTCAAATCTGTACAGGCCTTCTGTGCCATGGTCTGGCACTGGCAGCAGACTGGCACATCTGACTACCTTGTCTTTCCTTGCCTTGATTTCTTTTTTGCACACAGGAAGCAACAGCAGTGTCCTCCCTCACTGAAGTGCGTGGATGGGCAAGTCACAGGTGGCAAGTCAAGCAGCTTGGAAGGTGGGCCAGGTCTCAGCAACAGCTCCTGACACCTCCTGTCCCTGGGTGGGTCAATACCTGCACTCTGGGTGCCCGCTGACGGCTTGCGACCTTTGCCTTTAGGAATTGGGGGTAGTAACTCCACTTCCTCCTGAGGCATCTGGGCAACCTTCTGCAGAAATATCTTCTCCAGGGCTTGGGCCATGAGGACAATGTCGTCTGTGGGCTGCAGAAAGAAGAAGAGTCCATGCTGTATCATATTTGAAGCAGAGAGATTCAAGATCAGGCTTTGAAAACCCTGATGACACTGCTCTTCAAATAAATTATGGTATTCAAACTCCAAAAACAAACAGATTAGCTCTTCCCCCTCCTTGCATGCCTTTTTTCGTCCCTCCTGCTCTTCTATTCTGCTCTAGCATGCAATAATTACAGCCCCTAAGTACACTGCATCCAGAGAGTTATCAGGACTTCCAGTAGGAGCCTGATAACCAGCATCCTGTGCAACAGCATGGAAGCAGCAAACTGGAACAGATGAGCTGTCCTCCCCTGCTTGCCAGCAGGTCCAAAGGAAGAGTCTAAACACATATTCTGTGGCTCAAACTAATTAATTTGTTTATTTCAGCTGTTCTCCAGTCTGGGTCAATGATGACAAACAACTAGAAAACATAATACAAAGAATAGAGGCCTTTAACAACCTAACAAAACAGCAAACAAGCCAAACCCAAAAATAATAATAATAAGCATTCTAAATGTGTGTAAGTATGAACATATTTATGGAGACAGAGTCAAAGAACAGAGTTATGTTTCCTGAACTGTTCTCTGCTGCAGACACTATTTACTGCCAGTCAGTGTAGCACAGCACTAAAGCATCACAAAACACCTGCAGAGCACTGCATGAACTGCAGCTCACCTCAAAGAATTCTTAACTGAAAATAAAAGGAGCAAAAACTCGCTACATGACCCCAGATCAGAAATCTACCTATAATTGAAAGGCATATTTGCCATTTTAACTAGTCTGGGGGAAGAAAGGCGAAGCACAAAGACAGCTTTGTGCATTTCAAGTAATGTGGTTGCAATTAGTGGCACTTCAAACCCTTGCAAGGAGGGCCCGGAGCCGGCCCTGCTCAAAACCTGCAGAGTAACAGTGGTAGCTGGGTCTGTCTGGGCTCTTTAGGCTCTTTACCTTGTTATAAATGTAACAGTTTGTAAACATGGTGTTGAAATCCTGCATACATTCACTGGCACTCCAGTAGTAGTTGTGTTCCAGGCGCTTCTTGATCGTCCCCATGTCCATGGGGTTTTTTATTATTTTGTGATAATCCTGTTGGAGAAACAGGGAAGATGTTACATCTCCTGATACAGAGGGTTGATCACATCTTCCTCCAATACCTGCTTTCTCCTCACTCCCCCTCTCAAAAAACACACCCTAATTTTTGTGGAAATTGTAAATGTAAATATATATATAGCAATTTATTTTTTAATTTCTATTGTTTTAGTCTATCATTATTACAAACTTGACTACAAAGCACCTGAGCTCCTTCCACAACCACCAGTCTGGGAATCAGCACTTTAAACTTTCTAAAAGGTTGCCCCTGCCACTTACAGAAGTTTATCAGTGCCAGCCCTGGCTAAAACTGTGCTAAAAGTTTCAGTCTCTCTTTTAAGAGCATTTTGGCCTTTAAAAGGCTTCCACCAGTTTAAAAGGCTTAACCCAGTTTCTCCCTGGGCTGGTCCCAAGCATCTGCAGAGGCTGTGATTAGCCTGGAGGGGCACAGGGGCTATGAACTGTCATTTTCTCATCATGGCACCAAGGCCACATTCTGAGCCCAACCCTCCACTGCGATGTCAGGCACCAATATTTCCACGCCAGGGCAATCAGAAAACCGACCTCACCAACACAAAGCTTTCCAGGAACACAACACCGAGCAGAAGGCGACAGAAACCTACCGGCAAATTCAATTTAATTGCATCAACAGGCTGGTAGAAAGGCCAGGCAAACTGATGCTTCCACAAGGTCTTCACCACAACATTTTGCATATATTGCAGTTGGTTGGTCTTCCGGCCAGGCTTATTAGGATTAGTCACCTCCGGAGGCGGCGGGTTCACAGGGCCCTGAGGAGCCTGGATTGCTGATGTGACTGTCGACATCTTCCCGCTCGGGCTCTCACTCGCTGTTACGGCAGCAGCAACGGGGGGATTTTCTTTCTTCCTTTATGCTCCCTGAACGGGACTGACATCCCATTTCCAGGGTCCAACCATACAACCTAGAGCAAACTAGAGGAAGAGGGCAATGTGTAAATGCAGACACTTGAAGTAGGCACCTTAGAGACAATTCTGCTGTTAAGAGTGTTTGAACTCGGGCTCTTCACCCCGGCGGATTCATTCCCTGTGACACAGTTTATCTTGATGATGGGCACAGGTCAAGACCCCAGAGACAGCAGAACAGCAATTCCCAAATTCAAAGCCTGCAGAGAGACAGAAAGCTTCATGGGACTAGTCCTTGCTTTATCTGGCTCAGAGAGCATTTTCATGTCAAGAAAACACTTGGGGCAACCTAAGGATGCAGTTAGGGAGTACAGTTAGGATGTAATGCAGACTCCCATGAATGCACTGATCCAAGATACTAAATCCATAGCTTCCAGCTCCGTGTAAACTGAACTGCATTGTCTCTAGACCCACGCTGCCTGGCACTGAGTCAGCTTACAAGTCTCTACTCTGGTGCAATGCTTAGTCTAAAGTCCCATAATCAAGAGCAGACAACAGCTGCCAGAGGACCTCGATCCAGGGAAATGAAAAGAAAGGACAGAGGGAAATGCTGTGAATGAGAGGTGTCACCAGAAACAGCTTAACTTGAAGTGATCTGAATCTCATAAATGTCTTAGTATGTCTCTTACTGCATGTACCTGGCTGGTTTTGACCCTAGTTTTGTACCAAAGTTTCAAGATACAGGCTCAATATAAATAATAATTGATGTTATATCCCTGGCTAAGAGAACACTGTCATGTTCTCTCTTAAAAGCACATATGAAATACAGTAGAATACATAAATTGCATTATTGTATTCTGGTTTTCCCCCAGCAAACTGCAGGGGTAAAAATAGCCCAGTATCACCGTGCCTTGTGTACCATATGGTAAACAGCTTTTCTATGTCATCTTCCATAAACATTGGATATTTCAACTCACATCAGGACTGCAGCTACTCTTCTCATGGCAAACAGACCACAAGCACTTTCTAGAGGCAAATTATTTCAAATGAGTTCAGAAAGCCATACAAATACTCTCACTGACATATGCTTCTGGGTTGCATTGAGAAACACGAGCAGAGACAGAACCTGCAGTAACACAGGAAGGAGAGACATCCCAGGAAAAACCCAGAAACCTCTGCTTTGATACAGCCTTTATCATCTCTGCTGAACATCTGGACTAAATATAGAACATCAACTTACCCTTTGAGTTGCTGATTAGATGAAGGCAAAAAGTAAACACATACCTAACTGGGGGGGGGAGCTTTACAAAAATAGATGTGTACAAACACAAACAGATCTGCAGCAGAGAGGGAGGAAGTTGTTAAAAACCTAAAATAAACCCCTGTGTGAGTACACGTGCTGATATGTGCAGGGAACAGACAAGTCTGGTTATGATACTGCCAACATTTGTCCATGAGCCCCACCATATTCCAAAGATGCAGAAAAAGCAGGGACTTCCTTGTGCCATGAAATCAAGCCCCTGGACCCTGTTCTTTGATAACTCAAGAGCCCAGCTTAGCTCAAAAAGGACTAGTTCCTCATCTGATCATGGTACTGGTGAGAGTCATGGTGATCACCAAGCAGCCAAGAGGGATGCTGGCATCCCCTGGGCAAGGAATTTCAAAACTAGGCTGTTCCTTGGGATTTTGCATTTGGAATAAAACTCAGGAAGCATTTTCTCCTGGTGTTCCATCAAGTCAAAGCAGCAGCAAAATTATTGCAAAATTCAATCTTCAGATCGGGGTGGGGGGGGAATAGACAAAGAATTAAGAACAAAAAAGATAATTAGGAAATTGCCCTCAGCCTCCTTCTGGGGAGCTCCCTGCATGGATTTCAGACCCCAAGGTCTGTGAGCAACATCCATCATCCAAGAACACTCAACACTGGCTGCAGGCCCCTGGTGACCACCAGTGAAGCATTCTGTTTGCTGTCTTCTTGATTAACAAACTGAATCCAATGCAAGGACTGAGGAGAAATAAAACACCCACAGAGAGCAATTCCTACTGCTAGAGAGCATTTCAGTCACAAGTTTGAAACTACTCAGTGTAACTTAAGTCTTCCCTTTAAATAACCTATGGCTAAATATGATTCTCTTTTCACTTGAAGTTCCTGATGCCCTCTTACCTCTCATATTCCATTTGATAAGGGTATTTAATTAATTTTTATTAAATCCCAGAACTGTAATTCAAAAAACCACAGATCTAGCTGCTGCCTCTCTCAGACTTTCTCTCTGACCTTAGCCAAGGTGTTCAGTATCTTCACACCACAGCTCCTCATCTGTGTCATGGAGATAGTGGGAGCTCCTTTGCTCCTCTCTGTCTCCACCCAGCAGCCTGTTAACTCTCTGGGACAGGCACTGCCTCTCCACATGCCCATTTTGATCCTCAAGCTTAAACAAGGCTGGTACAGTTCACATAAAAGAAGGATGTAACAGTCATCAGTGACACAACTCAGAAAGGATTTTAATTAAGAACATTACCAAAAGAAGGAGGGGCAGAACCACGACAGCCAAGTCAGGCAGTCCCTGGACAGCTGATCCTCTTTAATTTGCACGTTCCAACTCACTGGTTATTACACCCAAAAGTAGCTACAAACCTCTTAACAGCACTGGCACTAAAATGCTGGATCCTGCAGCTGAAAGAGAGGAAAAGCTACCTGGGCTATCTTGGCAGCACTGGAAGTTTCTGTTCTGCCATAAATACAGCTTTAATGTGCATGTGCCTCACTGACCCTTTAACCCTCGGTCCATCAGCTTTCCTCATCATTTGCTGGGGAAGCTGCTTTGATACTGGATCACTCTGTAATCTTTAAAAGTTTGTTTCTACAGCCATTCTTTCACCTTTAAAGTTTCAAAATGGTATTAATTTAGAAAGCAAAAAGCAGCACTATGAGGATTCTGCAAGCTGAGGGTTAAAATGCTTTGAAAATGTCCAAAAGTCAGTGATACTGCATTTGAGAGGTCATGGCCCTGCCTGAGAAATCTGCTGGTTGTGAGACATCATTTATTAAATGAGGAAAGTGAGAGTCACAACCATCTGACATCCCAGCTTACCACACAAATCATCCAAGAGGACACTTAAGTAGACTCAAACACACAAACCAAGCAATTTACCCAAATTGTCCTGTAACTACAAGTAGAATTGAAATACACAGCTCTAGCCCAAGCACTTCAGCACCTACTGAAACTGCACTAGTATCAATAAATATTTAAACTATTAGGGAGCCCTGCTGTGATCCAGGACACCACTGTACAAGGTACTGTACAAGCCTGGAGCAAAGACTGCCAAAACCAGCCTTGGCACAGGCATCATGTGCACTTTCCAATGAGGGGCTAAGGTTGGACTTCTTTTAGCCCTGGAGTAATAGCTTCTTAAATTTTAACTTTTAAGTCACTACTTATCCTGTTCCTCAGACCTGTAATGTTCAAGTAGCAGAAGCCGTTCTTGATTTTTCTGGCTGCACAAGTACAGTTTTGATATTATAAATGTAAAGTACACCCTAAAGTGCTGTCACACACGAAGAGTGAACACTGCTTCCCACACTGAGCATTTCTCCTCCTTCTTATTCAGTCTGAGACGATAATTAAAAGCAAAACCCAAACCCTCAAATAAATCTTGCTTCTCTGAAGTTTCAGTCTGTCCTTTTGTGCTAAGTTGCAACCTCAGCGTGGCATCCAGCAAGGCCGTGGGCTTTGGCACAACCCTCGGCCAAACCAGTCATCAAAAAAACCCAGCTGGGTTGGGAGGATTTTAAAAAAAAAAAAAAAAAAAAAAACAAAACCGACTTTTCTTTCATTGAGTTGCTTGCATGGGTCAGTCAGCGGAGAGACAGTTGGCGTGGAGAAAACATGTTAATAATTCCCTGTACTAGCAGGAGAACATTTCACTCGGCTGATGCAGCCCACAGGCTGTCTGCAGTGGTGGGGACTATTTTAAAAGCAGCTATAAAGCCCTGTGAAGTGTGCAGTGTGCCAGCACTCCTGCTGCCCCAGCCAACGGCCCTGCACTTCCTCTGGCAGTGCCCGGCGTTTAACGGACGGCTCCTCCCGAGCTGCCGTTCGTGCAGGACCGGATGGCATTTGTTGTGATTGCAAAATTAGGAGGTAGCAATCTTTATGTTAGCAGGAGAGCCCAACAACTCCTTTTTTTTTTTCCCCCCCCCTCCTTGGTCTGGTATTTCTGTGTGGTTACTTGGACACTGATCAAAATCTGGCGCAGTTCCAGCCCTTGACAGAAGCAGCGACATAAATCTTCCCATCGGGGAAAATTATCGAGTTTAAGAGATGTTCCTTGACCTCATCGTTATCTCCACACTATTATTTACATTACAGTAGCACATGGAAGCTGGGCAGAGACTAAGGTCCCTTGGCACTTTGCACTCTGCAGACACAAGACCCTGTTCCAGCCTCAAAGAGCTGGTGCTCACAACGTTACACCACAGTGAGGTGACCTGTCCACGGCCACCCAGCGAGTGGCAGAGCTGAGAGCAGAGTCCTGAACCCAGCTGGTGCCTGGCCCTGTGTTCATTCCCTGTGTCAGGGAAACAGCACTGCTCCCACAGACACAAAAGGCAGCAACTGAGCCTTTCTAAGGTAGGATGGAGCCAGCAGCCAGACCCACAGGGACTCAGCAGGGCATTCGGAGCAGGCATCCTCGTGCTGCTGCTCCAAGCACTGCTCCCCCAAGCACTGTTCCCCCACACTGGCTCCTTGCAGCCACCGAAGGAGATGCTTGGTCCCTTTTCCCCTGACAGCAGCAATAGTTGGAAGTTTGGTCAGATTTGCCACCATATGCAACTCCCCATCTCAAAGAAGCAGCTCAACCACGATCATCTTGCCCAGACTTTCTCTGCAGGAGAGGTTTAGCAATACTACTAAACCTCAACATGACCTTTATGTCAGATA